CTTCACTGAATTATTTCCTAAGATCGATGTCTTTCCTGGCTGGGGACCCACCTGAGAGAAGGAAGATTGTAGCAAAGAACGAACTATGCCTTGGAAAAAAAGATCTTGTTGGAAAGTCAGAGGGTGACTAAACCTCACATGGAGGACAAAAATGGGAGGGTTAGGGTCCACTTAAACACAGCAGTCCCATCACAGAAATTTCCTTATCTTTTAAAAAAAATTGATAACAAACTAGCTCAGAAAAAGAATGCTGAGCCTTTTACAACTGCTACCTATGACTACATTTTATCTAACCATAATAAAAACACCAGCAAACAGAAGTAGCTGTGCCTATGACACACTTCCTGACTTGTACAATCCTTACAATAAGTTTGTTGTTTACTGGTAGCTTCTGACTTGAGGGCCAGCTATGGGGCTGGGAAGGGAAAGGGCAGAAAAACAACTGAAAGTAAACTCAGACAATTGAAATCCCAGCACATGGGCACCAACCTCAGGAAAGATTTCAATAGAACAAATAATCTTGAGCTAAGAAACTCTAACACAAAGCCTCTGAAGTCAAGGTCTCTGGAAAATTCAGACAGGAAAAGTTCTGTAAATGGCATGCCCTTCTCTTGGCACAACTCTTGAAAACTGAAATCAAATGCTGCACAGTCAAGCAACTTCTAAGCAATTTCAAGTAAGTACAGTCATAATTCATCTCCAGTCCAACAATGTGAGATTTTAATAAGAGCAACAGGAGAAGTTCTAGAAGGAAAGAACACTCTTAACTTTCATTGTTCTGTAAAAACTCCCTCTCAAGTAATTTTATCCCCCTGCAGTTGCTGAGTGGGTGTCTGATGATCGGAACATGAGAAAAAGGTAAACTGTATTCTTTTATTCCAGTAAAGGCTAAGTGTGAGTACTTAATTCTTTCTAAAAACCATTTTTAATAGCCTACATTAGCTGTACAGGGGAGTTTCATTGTGACATTTCCATATATGCTTATATTGTACCTTGGTTAGACTCCCTCCATCATCTCTCCTCATCTCTTCTTCCCCCCTTCTTAAAACAACTTCAACAGGTTTAATTGTTCTATTTTCACATAAGTATATAAAGTATATTAACCATATTCAACCTTCTTCACCCTCTCTGTTCACTCTCCCTCACCCACTAGTCCCTGCCCTGGAACAGGACTTGTTTCACATTCCTGTCTTTCATTTTTTTTAAAGTGTATGTTCATTGTTCAAAGAGGTTTTGTCATGGTATTTCGCAGATGGCTATCCTGCACTGTAATCAGATAAACCTCCAGGTTTACTCTTTCCTTCTCCCCCTACCCTCCTATTATTCAACAGCTTTCAGTGAATATTTAATTCTTATGCAATTCTGGTGCATGATTTGCAAATGTGTTGGGTTGTGTGATGAAGCAGAATTTGTGTTTGTTTAACTTCCCACCCAAGTAACTGGAAAATACCCATGTGATGAGGCAATGCTCCTCCCGGTTCAGTATCTTCTTGGCTGGAAGGCTGGCTTGCAGAATACTGTGCAAATTATTTAACCTCTTTCACTTTCACAGAGGCATCTGCAAAGGGCAGTGGTGATTCAGAAACTATGTATATATGGTTCAGAAAGTATATAAGCCTCAGTGCGGCTATGGAGGTACATAAATTCCCAAAAGACCATATTGTTCCAGAAAGTTCTGTTACAAACACAGTAATAATAACCACCATCCTATCCAAGCACTTCTAGTTAGGATGGTGACCCAACCTTGATTCAGTGTTTATTAAGGATTCTACCCTTAAAAGTTCTAGGACTGAATACTTGGATCCCAAACACCAGTGTTTTGGGTGAACAAGTCTTACAATAATGGTATAGAACAGATTATTTTTTCCTTTTGAAGATTTTTTTACTTGAAATAATGACAGACTCATAAGAAGTTACAAAAATAGTACAGAGAGGTCCTGTACACCCTTCCTCCTGCTTCCCCCAATTGTAACGTCTTATATAACTATAGTACAGTAGCAAAATCAGGAAATTGACATTGGTAACTAAACAGATAACTAGACTCAGACTCCACTGCGATTCAAACAGATTGCTAAAACAATTTGGACACGGCTGGAGGTAACCTGAGTCATATGCATTAAGTTTCTTCTTAGAGGCAGGAAGAATTTGAGCTTGTTATTATCAAACCTGTATTTTTGGGGCAAATAATTTAATGTCACTAAAACCTCAGCTTTTTAATCTATAAAACAGAAATAATAGCAACCAAGTAATTTGTAATGAAGAAATATTTCTAGTAAGCAAGTGTCATATATTAGGACTCCACCCCAATACCAGTTTCCTTCATTCTTTCACAAGACCTGACATTTCAGTTCCCTGAGCTTTGAAGGAGACCCAGGTACCCTCCTAACAACCAGCCTGGATTTTTTTTTTGGCTGTCCTGGGGTTTGAACTCAGGGAATCATGCTTGGTAGGCAGGTGCTCTACCACTTGAGCCACTCCACCAGTCCTGTTTTGTGTTGGATTTTTTCCAATATAGAATCTCCTGAACTATTCCCCCAGTGTTGGCTTCAAACCATAATCCTCCAAATTTCTGCCTCCCGAGTAGCTAGGGTTATAGGTGTGAGCCACTGGCATCGAGCTCCTGTTTCTTAATTACTATTCTTTCTTTGTTCTGGTCCTGTCTCTTATGACTAACATCCTTGTGAAAGATTTCCTCAAAGGTTTTTGTTTTGTTTTGGTGATACTGGATTTGAACTCAGGGCCTCACAGTTGTTAGACAAGTGCTCTACCACTTGAGCTTTTTTTTTTTTTTTTTTGTGCTTTAGTTACTTTTCAGATAGAGTCTTGACCTTTTTGCTGGGGCTGGCCTTGGACTGTTATCCTCTTACCTGTGCCTCCTGCATGGCAGAAATTACAGTAATGAACCACTACACCCAGCTCTTCCTCAACTGTTTTTCAGTAAGTTTCAGCTTTGAAGGGCTTAATGACACTGCTCTTAGAAGCAGCTTTCTGCCCCACCAAAGTAACTTGAAAATTTCAGGACCACACTGCTCCATGAATCCATCCTCCCCCCAGCCATCTACCTGGTCTGTACTCTGTGTCTTGTTGGGCTGGCATCAACCTGAAATTGAGGGCTGAATTGGACCATCATACCATTCATTTCTTTCTCTAGCTGTAAGAGGACCCTGGAATGATAATATGGCTTTGATGCTGGAGTCAGACAAAAGAAATCAGGCAGTCCCCAATTGTAGGGTTTCTTTGTCCCTTCCTGACTACATGCTATGTACCTGTGCAGGTATACAATTTGCACGAGTCATAGCATGGGGGGTGACTATAAAACGCATATGGGCTTCTCCACCTTCTAGTTTGTATTGCATATAACAATTAATTTGCCAATGATAAGCCAACAGGGCAAGTGCCATCCTTCATTCTCTTTTTGGTACAGTGCCTGCTATTGCCTTAATGCTCAATTAATAAAATCGCAGTAATGACCCTCCTCTTGGCCTTGTGTTCTGGAAGCAGTGCTGGGCAGATGATGACTCTGGAATGGATTTCCTCCGAGATTATTTCTAGCAGAGGTTGGAGAGTCACTGCAGTGCTGACTAAGGGTGGGATGGAGAGAGATTGGTAAACATGAGAGTTATGGAGGGAGGCGTAGAGACAGGAGTGGGTTGAGAGAAAGAGAAGTCACTAGGGTGGGGATGGGGCATCTGTAGGCTTACAGAAATTTGGGGGTGGTTGGGGAGAAAAGCTTCAATTTTGGATCCAGTCTGACTTTGATTAGAATCTTGGCTCTGCCATTGACCAGCTGTGGCTTTGGGGAAAGTTTCTTAAGCCCTCTTAGCCTCTATTTTCTCATTGAGAATGGGGATGGTGTCTACCTCATATATTATGAAGGCTGACAAAAAATCTCAGTATTATACTCTTGAAACTTCTCTTGGAGCCATCTGCTCCCTTGTAAAAGCCAGTGTTAGGAAGACACCCTTCTATCCTGGATGTCTCATGACCACCCCCAACATATCTGATCAAGTACCTCACCCTCCACCGTTGCAAGTGATCTCTGATCATCCGGGCCTGCCTTCAGTAAGAATCCTGTTAGGTAATTTTAGCTAGAACCAACCCTCCCCACCCCTACCCCTGATATTTCCTCTTAGTCATTTTCCATTCACTTACCCCCACCCTTCTCCTTGGCTACAAACTCCTACTCGCCCATGCTGTGTAAAGAATCGAGCCCAGTCTGGTTCCCTTGCTACCAAATCCCATTGCAGTAGTCTGTATAGCTATGGCAATAGTCCTCAACAAAGTCTTCCTGCCTATGTCTTAACAAATGTCACTGAATAATGTGTTCTTTAACAAGAAAACTAAAGGCCGAGAAAAAGCAAACCACCCAGGGCCTCCAAAAATGAAAATGTCCTCCATATCCTAACCTCCTTGTCATCAACCTGCAGCTGTTCATGTGTCCACGCACACCTGAGTACTGAGGCCTCCTACAGTCTATTCAGGTTTAGGGATTCGGTTCAGCTGACCTTTAAAGCTGGGTGTCACATCGACCCTGCAGATTGGGGAAACTGAGGAAAGTCACACCTACGTCTAGACACGACTGCTTCCGTGGGCCTGCAGGTAACCAGGTGTGCCACGAAGGCCTCCTCCCTTCCCCCTCTCTGGGGCTTCAGGGAATGGGGGTACGAGGAGTGTCTCTGTGCCAAAGGTGGCGCTCGGTGCGTTCTGCAGGTGAACGGCACGGCACTGGGGTGGGGGTTGGGGGGCGCGCGGAGAGGGGTCGCGGGGCTTGGGGCGAAGGCTCCCGCGGCGCAGTGGCCGCCAGGTGGCACCACGGGCCCGGGGCCTGGGCGCGGCACTGAGCGGCGCGGCGCGGGGCAGGAAGGGGTTAAGGCACTGGCGGGGCGGCCGCGGCCGCGGCTCTTCGGGGAAGCCCGGCGCGGGGCGCGCAGGAGGGAGCGGCCGCGGCTGCGGGGCCCGGCCAATCGGGCGGCGGCCCGGCGCGCGCGGAGCCTCGGCAACATGGAGGGAGGCGCGGCGCCCGGCCGCCCGTGACGCGCCGCTGCCCGGCCCGCTCGCGGCGAGCCCGAGCCGCCCGCGGCCCCGCGGCGCGAGATGAGCAGGTCCGCAGCGCTGCTGCTCTGCCTGCTGGGCTGCCACGTCTGGAAGGCGGTGACCAAGACGCTGCGGGAGCCCGGCGCCGGAGCGCAAGGTCGGTGGGCGGCGGCGGCGGCGGGGCCGGGGGGCTTTGTGTCGCGCCGGGCCTGGCGCAGAGGCGGCGGTGGTGGCGGCGGCGGGAGGCTCGGGGCCGCATTGTGGTGGCGGCCGCCGCAGCCCCGAGCTGCACCGGAGCCGGGCCTGCAGTCTCCGCAGTCCCCGCAGTCCTGGCGCTGCGCTCCCGAGGGGGCGGCGCCGCCCGGGGACGCGGGGCCCGCGGGGCAGATGCTCCCGGGGGGCCGAGGCGGGCGGGGGTGCGGTGGCACCAGCTGTTGTGGCTGCTGCTGCTGCTGCTGCTGGTGGTGGCTCTTCTGCATGGATGCATCCGAGGTCCTTTCCTTTATGCCGTGACTCGGACACGCGGCTCCATCTCCTCGCTGCGGGAGAGGGCGACCCCAGGACTCGCCGCCGTGGCTCCTTGGTCCCAGCCCTGGGCTCGGGTCCTACAAGCCCTGCAGCGCCCAGGCTGCGATCGGCCCTTTTGTTGTAGCGAGGAGGGGGCGGCCGCCGCCCCGGAGTCCCCTGCACCCCCAGGTCAGCGGCATTGCCCTCCACCAGCCTGCTGCAGTTTGGGAAAGTTTTGGGGTCTTCTCCCCCTTCCTATCCCAGACCTTTAGGGGTTTGCTCAGCCGTTCAGGAATCATCCTAAGAGGTGAAAGAATTGGAACCCGCAGGCCCCGATCACTTAAAAAAAATAAAATATAATATATATGTATATTTATATATATAATTTCCATGTCTGTGTGTTGCCTTTTGTTTAATCTTTGGTCTCTACAAATCTGCTTTCCAGCCATGAGAGTAATGTGGTTGCCTCTGAGGACAGTCACAAGCGGTCTTTTTTTTTTTTTTCCTATCATAAATTTTGGGGGAGAACCTGAGAGCTTCCTTAGCATGCTTTGGTGGGGACAGAATCCGGTATTTCTCTGTTGCTGGCCTTTTCAAAAGGGAGACTGAGGCCCTAAAGGAGCCTTCCCAGCTCATTTGGGCCTCTCTGGCGTCAAGAGAGTTTGCTCCCGGCAGCCATGTAGACCCTGGAGATTCTGCACAGAAAGGTGGGTGTCCTGCAAAGTTGGCCCTGCACATTGAAGGAGTTGTGTGCCATCCCAGTATCCTCTTGCTGGAACCCGGCCTTACTCTTTTTCCCTCATGCTAACCTCCCTTGGTGCCTGGGACCAGAGAAGCCTGGACTTCATCCACCTGATATTGGGGATGGGGAGGCTTTGCCAGCAATCTACATGGTGAATTAAAGGTTTTCCTATCTAATGCTTTTACAGTTGCTTGCTGGCATCTCTTAAATGTGTTACTTCTTCTGTAGTTAACAATGTGACCATTATGAGCTGGGTATACATTTGGTAAAGTATGTTAGGAAAAGGTACAAAAAGACCCCTATGTCCTTTCACATAGGGAACAGATATTTATGACATTAGAGCATCAGTGACTTGTAGCCTCTTTCATTTATACCCTGCTGCCTTTGAATCATCTATTTTATTGAATGATACTTGCATTTCAATGAGACAGGTTGAATTTTTTGTTTTGTACTTGAAATAGCAATATATGGAAATACCGAGTTCATGTACTTATAAAATAGGAAAAGGCATGGTGTTAATTTAAAAAGAAGTAACCATGGAAAAATAATCTAGGTTTAGATCTAAGACCATGTCTTCTGAACTCTTGCTGCTAAACCCCCAGAAATGGAATATTCCATAAAGTGGGACAGAGATGATCCGTGTGAGAATATTTTTGCCATGGCTCAGAGTATCTGAATATATAGTATAGTTTCAGTGGAAGGTTGAGTACCTTGGAATATTGTTCCCCTAGGATTTCTTCCTTGATTCATTATTTAGGATACAGATGTGTTGTTAAGATGTTGAATGCAGTAGCTGTACCAGATCTCAGGGTCTTACTCCCTGGCATCTGGATTTTGAGTGAGTAGGTTGTTAAGAGAATGGACAGTATCTGTTCTGACATTTGAAGTCACCTTCGACCTACTGAGGCCTTCGAAGCATTTTAATACTGTATTTTCTAAACAGCTTTTAGAATTGTGTTTTCTCTACTCTCCTATGTCTTGTATACTTTGATGACAAATACTGCATCTGATTTCACTTTACAGTTCCAGCAGGTTGTTGGATTTATTTTGTACACAGTTGGAGCTTAAGTAGTGCTGAATGAGTGAATGGGTGAAAGGCTGAAGACACTAATGCATATGCCACAATGCAACCTGGGGTCATTATTATTGGCATGCATTTTAAGAAGAAAAGTTCAATTTTTACTTCTTCTTGAAACCAATTTGTAAAATTTTTACTTTTATTATAAAAACAAGCTTAAATTATACTTGGGATAAGCATTGTACACACACATTGTGCAATATCAAGGCTTAGAAATTACTTAGGAAAAACTACTTAGAGCCAGGCTCAGTGGCTCACTCCTACAGTCCTAGCTACTCAGGAGGCAGAGATTGAGAGTATTAGGGTTTGAGGCCAGTCTAGGCAAAAAGTTATCAAGACCCCCATCTCAACCAATAAAATTAGGGTGCACGCCTGTCATCCCAGCTACATAAGGAAGCATGAATAGGAGGATCATGGTCATAGCCCAAGCATAAATCAAGACCCTGTTCCAAGCTAAAGGGGCTGGAGGCATGGCTCAAATAGAGTGTCTGAGTGCAAAGCCCTGAGTTCAAGCCTCAGTCCTGACAAAACAAAAGCAGAAACAATCAAACAAAAAACTAATTAGCAAACTCAAGCTCATAGAAACCATATAGCGTAGTATTCCAGCTAGATTCCTGGGACTAAATGGCATTGTGTTTATTAAATGAAATTTTACTATATCATCTGGGGAAGCTAACATTTGGAAAAATTTCTTGGCATTACTTTGCTGTTTGTCTATTCAAGATAAGACTTAAGGTTTGGCTGCAGATACTCTTGCTGGAGCTGCTTTGAATCTGCAATGATTTGCAATACATCAGTTAATTAGTTGCCTCTGACCAGTGGTGAACATGAACTAGCTCAAGAATATGATTGGGCGTTTTTTATTAAGTGTTTCATCTGAGTTGCTCTGAAGCATTTACAGTATCCATTTTTGTGGAAATTTTACAGAAAGTGTTATTCAAAAGTTCTGAACAGCTTTGACTTTTTGCCTCTCTTACAAAATTGCATTGAAGTGGCTTGGTGTTGGAGGCCCACTCCTTGAAGAATGGCAAGTTGTGCATATGTACTCTGTAGAGATGGAATTTTAAAGCCCAATGCTATTTGTGTGCCAAAAGAAAGGTCAGCATTAGGTGAAGGACTTCATGCACAGACTTCTAGTGTATGCTCCTTATTTTGTTGTTATTATCTAACAGTAAAGTATTTTTGCAATAATGTGCTAACTTTCATTCATCTCAGAAAAGCTGAAACATGTCATAGCATTTGACGGCATGGTTGGCTACTTAAGAGCACTATTCTTTGCCAGACTCAAACTTCAGTTATCAGACCACTGTGATCAGTTGAGAAACCACGAAGTGATGGATGGAGGGCTATCAAGATGATTAGCCAACAAGTAAGAACCTTGCTGACATTACCTTAAGAGCCTAATAACTATTTCTTTGTTTCTGTGGTGCTGGGGATGGAAGCTATGGCTTCTTGCATGGTAGGCAAGTGCTCTACCATGAGATGCATCCACCTCAGCCCAAGAATATAATGTTTAAACACAACTAACTGGGTTGACATCCTGGGAAAGTGTAGGAATTGTACTTACTGAGGCCACTGGGCTCATTAACAGCCTAGCCAGGTGTGACAGCTGTCTGCAGAAGCAGCCCCAATGTTTAAGGGATTTCTGGCCAAAGTCTTTGATTTTTTTTCTTTTTTGAGATAGGATCTTACAATGTGGCCTATGCTGGCCTCAAACTCCCTGGGCTCAAGCAGTCCTGTTTCAGTCTCCTGAGTAGTTGGGACTACAGGTGTGCACCACAATACACTTTATGAATTATATCTGTATTGTACTTATTCTGTAATCCTTTGTAACTTATAGGTTATTAGTTTAAAGTCCTAAGCAGAAGAAGGAAAATACTATAATGGATTTCTAACCTGAAGCTTGCAAATTACCTTCTCAGTTTTAACCAATTTTTCATTTTGAGCAAATTACATATCTCTATAAATCATACTGTATAGCTTTGTCATTGTTGATACGTAGTGAATAATTTTAGTAAATACTAATTTACTACATTTAGTAAAAAAGTATGTGGAAATAAGTTGGACTACAGACATGTATAATGCTGTACATTGAAGGAAAACTTGGATAAAGCATATTTTGAAGATTTATATGGAAGTTCATCCTGTGATAACACCTTTCTTGGGTACTGTTGTTGAAATTTGTAATTGAAATTATTATTCATATCAATGCTATTAAAATTTAGCTAAGTTATAGGGAAATATTGTAAGATATTGTAAACAAATAATTTTCACTTGATTTTGTCAAATGATTTTCCTCAGAATGTTTTATTTTGTTTTGTTTGACAGGGTCTCACTATAGATAGCCCAGGCTGGCCTTGAACTCACAATCCTCTCCACACACACACACAAACACACACACGCACACACACTTCCCAAGTGAGGGGACTTTAGCTACTTCAGGACTAGCTAAATTGTTCTGATCCAGCAAACATGGAACTTAATGTATTTTTAAAATTAAGCCTCAGTACCCTAACATAAGACCAATTACTTGTATGAAAAGGAAATTCTACAGTGTGACCCACACATGCCCTACGAAAAGAAAACCATTATTTTTATAAAGTTAGACTCAGAAATAGGCAAAACGTAAGGTAATCCAACACTTTAAAAGGAGTTCCTCGTAAGTTCTTCTAAAAATAAACAGTTCAGCTAGCATATTTAAGATGATCCCATCTTCCTCTGATCAAGTGACCGACTTATTTGCCAGATCCCCTTCCTCTTCCTTTGACTCTAAGTCAGTCTGCAAACATTTGCTCCTTTTCCTTTCAGTATCCCTTACAGAACTGATCAA